GACCCTTCGAGCACTAAAGTTTACTTTTGTCACCATTCACAAAATAGTTCTATATACCGTCTGTGCATATTAATTAGGTAATTTGCATATCATTAACTCTTTGAGCACCAAAATCAACTAACTGACTGTCACAGAGTTTGGCATTCATAAAATCACATTGAAACACTTTTTCTTGACCTTAATCCCCACTGTTGCGTACAATCACAGACAAATTCCACAATAACCCTATTTATACATCTGTGCAACTAAGTTGCTGTACTTAATGTTTAGAAATTGTTTGTTTTTAATTCTAGAAATTTACGAATTGTGATGAAGAGCCTTGCCAGCATGATGCAGATTGTGTTTATGTGACAGCTGCTGATCCCAGTCAGGTAAAGTCCCAGTTGATGTATTTCTCTTAACCTGATATCTTTGAAAACCCTTCTTGTGCCTTTATAGAGCAAAATTAAGTCTTTACTCAATGTGAACTACTTGACTTAACACTACATGTGTATAATACATTTAGGTGTATTTTGTGTTAATGGTTAGATATTAAGGGACAACATCAAAAGTTCAATGTAGAATAAAAACTTAATTCCTTTGGTTTTTCCCCATTTTTTTTCATTCTCTGTTATTTTTGTTCATGATTGGATAGAAAAACAAACAAACTACAAATACTCCAAGATTTGTTTGACTTCATTAAAAAATAAAATTGTTTTTGTAGGATGGAAACTTTTTGAGATCAACTACCCCCACCCCCAAACTAAAGCAAATAAGTTTATCTGACATTGATCTTTTGACGTCGTCCCTAAACAACATTGAGGACTGTACTTTAATTTAGGGATAAGGCTACATGTATAACTCATTTCCAAATGAAGGAAATTTGTTTTTGCTAAAATATTTCACCGGAGTTGCCAATGTTTTTCAGTGAGAGCTGGTACAGTCATAAATTTGTTATCTCAATGATCATCATTTTAGGGTTTAATTATTATGTCTATACTCGTAGTGGGAAACATTTTTTAAGTGTTGCTTTAAGTGTCTTTATCATGATGCAACAACATAGTTAGTGCAATATATATTACGATGTCTCTATTTTATTCCACAGCCATCATTTGAATGTCGCTGTAAGCCTGGATATGAGGGAGTCTACTGTCAAGACGAAATTGATTATTGTGCCAATAGTATGTGTAAAAATGGTGCAACATGCGCCTCGTACACCAATATCCAGACGTTTGAATGTCAGTGCGTACTTGGTTACACAGGCCGCTTATGTGAAACCAACATCAATGAATGCGCAGGGGTGTATTGTCAAAATGGTGCTACATGCAGGGATGAAATTAATGATTTTACTTGTGTGTGTCGCAATGGTAAGTTGTCATATTGCAATGTTTCAAGGAAAACAACTAACGGTCTGATCACTCTAATCCAGTTTGCTATGCGGTGCAAAAAAACTGAACTTGCTTGTTATTGACCTATTACAGGATATACTGGTCTATATTGTCAAACTGATATTAACGAGTGTGAAAATAATGAATGTGTGAATGGCGCCACCTGTGTTGATAAAATTGGTGAATACGAATGTGAATGCCCGGTGTATTATACCGGTAAGTTAGCTATGTTGTCTTAAAATCCCACAAATAAGCACCATTTTTACAACATTACCATTTGTCATGGCGTAATGAATTAGGGTCAAAGGTCACTGTATGCCTTGCATCCTGGGTAAAAGTTTGTTTCTCTCAAATTAAAAGAGGTCTACAGAGGAATCCGTGGAAATGATTATTATTGAGTTTCCTTAGTGAGGGGTTAACACCAGTCATGTATTCCATATAAATCAATTGACAGTTGCAATCAGCTGTATTTCCATCCTTATCACATGCTTAATGTGCATATCTCTGAAGTGTTACTTATCAAAAATGCATATCACATAGCTTGACGTCCAACACTGTTGTACGCCCAAGGTTTTTCCATAGCTTCCAGCTTTATACATGGTAAAAATGGTTCATTTTGGCGTGTGTGTAATTATTATTCTGTCCCTCCAAATAATAGGCTGAAATTTTAATAAATCTTTCATAGTTAATTGGAGCAAAAATCTTTAACGAACAGAATCGTCACACACCGTACACAAGACGTTCACATGAAATAGTACACTGTGTACACGATTATAGTTCCTCTTTCAACACTTTGCCATTTCATTTTTTTGTACTCATATGCATATGATAAATACTGTAGAATACTTTATTTTTGCTTGGAATTAATTTTTCGCTATTTCCGCTGATGTTTCCGTGAAAATAAAATCCAGCGAATATACTTTTTTTCCTATATTTCACATTAAACTCATCAAAAATCAGTGAAAATAAATTCCACACAATATGCGCAAAAAGCCTTTTCAGCGAAAACTAATTCCAGAAAAATAAAGTATTTTACAGTATATACCCGGTAATCACACGATATATTTTCTTTAGTTTACGTAAGCAGACAATCATGATTACCGGTACTGCCGTAGTAGCATTAATCCTCTCCTGTGACTGTGATTGATACAAAACTCTGGTGGTTCCTTGTGTCTGCTCACGTCAACCTAAGTGAAAATATCATGGGAATTACTGTATATATAATTATATGAATATTTTAATATTGTATTCCATGTGCGTTCATTTGGTACCAAAAATGTCATTTTGGATCAGTGGTTCTGGGATTGAAAATATAAAGAAAAAGTACTTCATGCTCCTTTAACCTCTTGAACACCAATGTCAATTTTCATCACCATTCACAAAATAAAATGTTACATTTTTCTCAGATTTTTCCAAAGTTTTGATCATGACCTATATAATGGAAAATTATGTTCATTTTGTACGAAATGATTAAAATAATTATGAAAAAATACTCCAAAAACAGACAGTTATGGTGGTCAAAAGGGTTAATGCATTTTAATCTGTGTTGTTAGCCTGACATTCTAGTTTATTGAAGTACACAATTCTTGGTGATGTCACTGTTTTTGTGCTGTGTTGAAGTACAATATTCTTGATGTCATTGTTTTGTGCTGTAGTGAAGTACGTAATTCTTGGTGACGTCACTGTTTTGTCCTGTATTGAAGTATATAATTCTTGATGTCATTGTTTTGTGCTGTAGTGAAGTACATAATTCTTGGTGACGTCACTGTTTTGTCCTGTATTGAAGTATATAATTCTTGATGTCATTGTTTTGTGCTGTAGTGAAATACGTAATTCTTGATGACATCACTGTTTTGTCCTGTATTGAAGTATTTAATTCTTGATGACATTGTTTTGTGTTGTATTGAAGTACATTTTTATTGTTGTTCTGTTTTCAGAGTCCAAACTGTGTCAATTTCATAATGTGTTATTAATACTAACAAGCGCTTGCTTTGTTTTGTCATCAGGCATGCATTGTGAGCTTGATATTGACGAGTGCGCAACTGACACGTGCCTGAACGGCGCCACATGCATTAATAGTTTTGGGAATTTCTCTTGCACGTGTGCGCAAGGATACTACGGCAAAACATGCGACAAGAATCCTTGCTTGGTATACCCATGTGAGAATGACGCTATATGTCGCTCTGCTAACAATGAAGGGACTGACTTATATGTGATTGTTCGGTTGGCTATGAAAGCCGGACTTGTGGAATAGCATCTTGCACAGCCGCCAGCGGACATCCTTGTTTGGCGGGTCAATGCCAAATAACATCAATCTCTACGTGGAAATGCAATTGCCCTATTTACTATACAGGTATTTGGAAACTGAAATGCTTAAAAAATCGGAAAACTTAAATCATGAATATTAACAAAAAATCTAAATCTCCTCAATTCTGATCTTTTTTGGATTTGTATTCTTTTAATTTGTCTTCATATCTTTCATTTCACTAATAATTCTATTAAAGTAGGTCGAGCTAAATTAAGATTGTTCACTACTGAGCATGTTACTGCGCTTATATGCAATGCATTATGGGAGAGAATTTCCCATTGTATATAATTGAAAACTATTATCTCTCTAAAAACTCACTGTAAAAATTAAATTTCAATCTTTCAAAACTTTTTTGAGATATCAAGAGATATTTCGCTATAAAAACAGTGCAAAAATGCAAATTTTAAGAATCTTGAAAAATTATTTTTTTTTTTTAATATTTTCGGCATTTTAATCAACATTTGTCCATAATAATCAAAGCATGAAGAAAATTAATTAGATTGAAATAATTTTTTTTTTTCAAGGACAAGTCATGATCAAAATTTTTTAATAATTATAAAAAAAAATTGGAAATGGTGACAAAATTTGCCTTTCGGAAGGTTAAGGTAGCCTTGGTCATTCTAGAATATACACACAATTTAAAAAAAAGCATTACTAAGATTGTAAATACATATCACAAATATTTAGGTATTTGTTTTTTGCTACCTCAAACAACAGAAAAACACCACTTGGAAAGCAAATACTACCGGGCATTTTGCAATGAATAAATTAAGAGTGTACCTTTTCAGTTTTCTTCCAATTCATTTTTTGATGTTAAAATCAGACAAAGATAATACAGAAACACCTACCTTGAGATGTTGAAAATGGAACTTTACCAACAATTGAAGCGCTCGTATAAAGGATGTAATTAGCATGGAAACTTGATTAAAACGAGAGAAAAAAAACTTCCCTATGTTTGGTTAAAAATTAACATTCATCAGATGGGATTTATCTAATGTTAATATTCAACTAACAGTCAAGTACCAGCAAGTCAACGCACTCAATACACAAGTTACTTATTTATCAATATCCATTCATTGTTTGTTTGTTTGCCCTTCTTAACTCATGCATGTTGCGTTCTCTGTTGTGAGTGTGACTGATCTGTAATGAAACACACCTCCTTTAGTTTGCTTTACCGAGCTTAGTCACCAGTTTGCCGTGTTTTTGGACATTCTGCTACTACTGGTTGTTGTGTCAACACCGACTTTATGCTTGGCTTTTTGCTCTTCTTTGTGGTTTTGTGTACGTATAATGTATTTGCTCTCAATTTGATGTGTTAATAGTGCATGTGGTTTGCCACACCCGACTACACTGCACATTGACCCACTTCCGTCAAATCTGATCTTCTAATTGAAATATATTTGGTGAAAAGGTTGCTGTGATTGCCGAAGCCATCCGAGATTTTCTATATTAAATACAGTGACTTACATTATAAAATATAAACTTTATTTTTATATGTTAATTGGACATCGTTGTTTCACTACTAATGTTGTGTGTATTTTTCTCACTTCAACTTCCTCAGTGTGTTTTTTATAATTTCATTTATATTCATCGTTTTTTCCCCCTTTCCAGCAATAACTTCCCTCATCTGGCGTTTCTTGCATGATTACTCACTTGTTATCACCCCTGTGTAACATGGACTAATCCAGTGTTTAAAATCCATTGGGTTATTCCACTCAGATTTGAGGGGTGTTAAATTTCATACCTGCCTGATCTGTTACTTACCCAGGTGACCAATGTGAAGTGGTTGGATCCTGTGTTAACGTGAAATGTGAGAATGGAGGGACATGCTTTCAGTGGCCAGAGGAAAACCCTACAAACTATACCTGCCTGTGTCCAACTGGATATACAGGTGTCCATTGTGAAAGTGAGATAGATTGGTGCGAGGAAGCGGGTGGGGACCCCTGTCTCCATGGTAACTGTACCTATGACCTAGAAGGCTATATCTGTCAATGTGACCCAGGTTATGCTGGTATGTAATATGTTTGTAGTAATAATAGATTAAACACTTGTAGAAGCTTATAACAACAGTGCTAGACAATATTGACACGCGGTGATGACGTCACATGCACATGCTAAGGACAGCCATAGTATGGTATTGTTTACCATCAGCCCTTCTAATTTTAGCATGCATTGTTATCGTAGATTGGGACTCAATTCCTGCACGTACGTATGCAGTTGACGGCGCCTCCGCTTTATTTTGAGTTTACAACAGCGTATCGTTGTTTATCCATGTTAAGTACAGGGCTAGTATCAATACAGTTTTCACTTATAAAATGTCACCATTATAACATATGACTTCAGATGCAAACAGCAGCTTTCGAATAAATGCAAAGCTCCTTACAATATTGTACCTGTTTGGTTACTGAACCCTAACACCTAACAATCAGCCCAATCAGAAAACAGCTTTCTTATCTTAGTCGACAGGTTTTATAGACCTATCAAGTTTTTTGATTGGTCAACTACTTTAGAAGAAGAAATATGTTACTTTTAAAGAATTTGATGATACAGAGATGTTCTTTTTAAATTAAAAATCACTGGCTGAAAAAAAACAATATATTCTGGTGATAATTATCATATTTTCTTGGATTAATTTATAGTGCATTTAGCTATTAATGAAATAAGCACAAATAAAACTTAATGAATAATTAAGTTCACAGGCCAATTCTAATTAATTTGACCATATAGTTATTATGTATTGTGAGTGTGTAATGATTTCTGACTCCTGACAATGCTATATCTGGTTCTGCATTACAGGAGAAAATTGTACAGTTAAATTACCTGACTGCGCCAGTAATCTGTGTCAGAATGGTGCCAACTGCACTGATCTCGATTATGGGTATATTTGTCACTGTCCGTCAGGGTATAATGGCACAAACTGTGAAAATGATATTGATGAATGTCTCTCTGAACCATGTCTGAATTCTGGTGTCTGTGTCAACACTCCAGGAGACTATTCCTGTAATTGTAATAACACAGGTTTGTATTTACGCATATAACACTTTACATTTCATCAGTTGACTTCTGGCTCTTATTTTGGTAACTCTAATTCATACATTATGTGATGTCAGGTGATTGTTTATTATTATATAAGTATATATTAAGTATTATAGGTGTTATTTCAATTGAATACACTCAGTACATGTTAAATCCTATAGATTATAACGGTTTCTATACATCTGTCATCGTAACGCCATAAATTACAGCGCTTATTATTAAATTACAATTATTTTTTCATCCTGCCATATAAGGAAATGCGAATTCCAAATATGGAATGATTACTCACGTAATAATAAAAAAAAGAGCTGACACCAGGGTTTGACCGGACTCCACACAAAGAAGTTCGCTGATTCTGTTCTAAATATTTTGAATTTCGGCATTCCCATGGAAGGAAAAGATGTATAATAATAAGGTTATTACGAGAATACTTCAAAGTATGCACTCAGACAATACGTCACGTGTTGGTCGATACTCCAACTGTCCTGTCTTTGTGCATGCTTAGAGGTATTCTAGTAATAACCTTATAATAATGCTACTCTTGTATTTGCTCAACTAATAAAACCAAGATGTTTGTTCTGATCGTAAATGTACAGGAAGTGCAGTCACACTTCACTTCATGTCATTTGACAAGTCAAAAACGCTGTGCGAAATGGATATTATTAGAAACTTTAAAAGCACCACGAATGGTCAGACTAACAATGGTATTATATCGATAAATTATGTTCAATCATGGGAAGGTGACTCATAGAGCAAATCCACTAAATGTTAGGTAATGCATTTGATGCTAATACTATAAGACACTGAAAGATTGAGATATTAGATATTTGTCATGTGACATTTATTTGTTTTTATGTACATTAATTTCTTTACTCATTTCTTTATTTATTTATTTATTGTACTATTGTTTATTTCTTAATGATTATTCCAGGTTATCAGGGTGATCACTGTGAAACGGATGTAGATGAGTGTGAAGGTAATTTAAGTATCTGTAACAACGGTGCCTGTGTAAACACCATAGGTGGATTTGAATGTGAATGTCAGTATGGCTGGATAGGACTTCAGTGTGAGCATAGAGACCCATGTAATACTACTATAGAGTGTCAAAATGATGGACAGTGTGAATCATCGATCAACACAACAACAAACGAACCCATCGCCAAATGTAACTGCCTTGAAGATTATATGGGTGACTTTTGTGAGGTAAGTATGCAAATAACAAATCCCTAGAATATGTCAGGATGTGTGACTTTTGAGTGATCATGCAAATTTCATGTGAGATCTTGTTGAGGATGAAATCCCCAATTTTTTTTTTTTGTCTCTCAAAATATGTTTCATTTTATTCTCTCTCATCGTTGTATGTACTGGGATAATGGTATTTGGAAGAGTGGATGTGATATTGGGATAGAATGGAACACATGTCTTTTGGGAGAAAAACAATTCCCATGTTTCTCTCACTCTCACCGAGATCTCAGCACTATTACAGTAGCATCTAAGATCTATTAAGGTTTCTTGTAGGTGTTTACCACTCTAAGGTATTCATCATTGTTGCACATGTACAGTTGTAGGAGGGTGTGCTGTTGGTATAGATGATCGTCCTGTCTCCTGCGTCAACGCCTTCTTCTTAAAAACTGTTAAATATATTTCTCTTAGTCTTGATACACATATGTATGTTCTTTGGGTGGATTTATATGAGATTTGATCATTTCGGGACTATATCTTAAATTCTCTATTTTTAGCAAATATTT